TAAGGTTAAATACTCAGCTAGTAAGTGAGTGGGCTCCATATCCTGCTCTGGCCACAGTGCCATCTTGCCTCTCATGAAGTGATATGGCTGATGCTTAGATATCCCTGGTGCTGTCTGTGTGTTTACATAAGTTGCTATTTAGCTTGCCTTTGTCCAATTTCCTTAGCTAGTGAGAGCTACTCACACTGCAGACGTTCATGACTGCCTTTAGATTATAGGGTGATCTTGATCTGTTAGGCAGAAGCAGCAGCAGATTTTAAATAGGAGAAAACAGGAGAAGAGATACTTCTTTGAAAGTAGTCATGTTAGAACAGATCAGAAAAAAAGACTAGAGGAGAAAAGGGGAATAGAAAGTAATTGCAATAATTAGACTCAAAATGAAGGTATAAAGCTGGATGATTTTTAAAATCCTCAAGAGCTGATAGTATTGCAGTGGTGGCAGGTCAAAAATATCTGAATTTTAATCATTTCCCACTCACTATGTGCTTGACTTTCTGAAAATTACTAAACTACTTTGTGCCTTGAGTTTCCTCATATGTATTCTACTTATCAATTAAATATTAACTATTTCAGAATTATTATACATGTATAATACTAGTATGGTAGGTGCTCTGAGTCTAACATGGGTAGAGTGTAGAATTTGGCATTGGGAGACAGGTATAAAGCCCAATTATGCTACTGACAAACTTTGTGACCTTGTATTTGACCCACAATCTCTGTTCTCAATTTTCTCATCTCTAAGCAGATGTGATTATGATTTTTATATATATCACAGAGGAAAGAAAGAGGGAGGGAAGTTTTGCAGAGAGGGAACGAGAGTGGGGGGCAGGACCACAAGGAGAAGGTGAAGAAAAATGATGGTGGCATGCCTAGTATATGTACCAGTTGTCTAAGAGGAACATAATCATTACCTGTCCCACATACATACCAGGAGAAAAAAGCGATACTCTGTGTAAAAAGACCAACTACATACATGTTATTATTTGTCCTAATTGCAAAAATCAGTGAAGTGGGAGACACAACCCTTAGTGCAGGAAATAAATTACAACTTTGTGGATATTGACGTGAGTTGATAGTGTGGTTTCCATCTAGAGTGCTTGCAGAGGCTGTTGAGAAAACCAGTTGAGTCAGTCAATGGAAAGCTGGAGCTGTCAGCTTTAGCATGGTATTTAAGTAGGTTAGAAGATGCGTTCCTATAATCCCAGCACTCAGGAGGTTGAGGCAGGAAGATCACTGTGAATTTAAGTTAAAATTTAACAGAGTAAGTATCATTTCTGATGTTCTAGATTTTAACTGGACTAGCCTGGACTACATATGGTGAGACCCTATGTCAAAACAAAACTAAACTAAACTAATCTTTAAAAATATAATGATACAGTTGTGAGATTTTTTTTTAAGTTTAAATAAGATACTAAAAGTAAGGGCAACATCTTAAGTATAAATCAAAAAAATCTACTGTATATGTAAGAAACAAAGAAATAAGTGCAAGTGGGAATGGAGGCATGTGCCTATAATCCCAGCATCTGGGAGGCTGAGGCAGAAAAATCACCATGAGTGATTAAGGCCAGCCTGGGCTCCATAGTGGGTTTAAGGCCAGCCTGAACTGAACTACATAGCAAGACTGTGTCTCAAAAAACAAAAACTAACAGAGTAAGTATCATTTCTAGTGCTCTAGATTTTAACTGGCTTCCTTTTGGGGGGGCTTTGGGGTATCTAGCAAAAAGCAACACAGAGTCCACAAAAACAGCAACCCCCAGTGGATAGTGAGGTAAGTGTGTAACCACCTTTTCTTTGGGATTTATTTTTCCCATGTAAATGAAATGTTTTACATGTGATTTTCCTGTTTTCAGTGATCAGAATTTTGCCATATTTTTTCCATCACAAAATTCTATTTACAAAGAAAAGATGATATAGGTGAGAGGGTTGTGTTAAAAGCCCTGGGTCTAGCTGGGTGTGGTGATGCATGATGCATGCCTGTAATTAGAAAGCTGAGGCAGGAAGATCAGTATGAGTTCAAATCCAACCTGGGCTACATAGTGCATTCAAGGCTGACCTGAACTATATATAGCAAGACCCTGTCTCAGAACAAACAAAAAAAGCAGCAGCAGCAGCCATGAATCAGGATTCCATCACATCTGCCTGTGCACCCTCCCAGAGACTCTGTCACCCTCTCTGGCTCTGCCGGCCATACCCACTCAACAATATGGTGTCACCAAAGAGAATTCTAAGACCTATATCTGAGATGGTGACTGGTGTTGCTGGTTGAAGAAAAAGACTCCAGGATTTCACCTTCAGTGGTTATTTCATTGTTAACCAATTAAAGTCTGTGAAGTCATTAGTTTTATCTTAGGCAGTGTCAAGCACAGTGGCACACGTTTGCTAATCCTAGCACTCAGAAGCCAGCCAGGGGTGCACATTGAGTTCAAGTGAGTTCAAGGTCAGCCTGAACTACATGAGATCCATAATGACTACATAATAATAAGAAAAAAAGAATGTGTGTGTGTGTGTGTGTGTGTGTGTGTGTGTGTGTGTGTGTGTGTCAATACATTTCACTGTGAGTAAATGTAAAATTAATTGCTTAGTCTTTTAAAAATACCTACTTTGAATGAATTTTATCATAGTTGAATTTTGATTGACTTTTCCTTTATTTTTGCCATTAGTTTCTTCAGTTTGAGTCTCACTTCTTTAAAAAGAAATTGTTTTCTATAAATTTTGACTTTGCTTCAGAAGATTATTAAGTAGTGAAATCATGTTTGAAGTTAATTGGGGCTCAGTTAATTCATTGGCTGGTAAGGTGCTTGGATTCAGAGGATTGTAAGTGTGATCCTTGAGTCACCACCCTCCAAGTTGTGGCTTAATATCTCTGTCCTCTTGTGTGTTTGTTTGAAGTGTGTCACTTGTGTGTGTAGTTTGCTTTTGACATTGCTTCATTTTTCTCCACCTCTCCAGTGTCCTTTCCCACCCAGAAGGTCTCAGCACACTGATGATAGTGCCTTGTTAGTGGTAAGATTTATAAAAAATGAAGTTTTACATTGCTCTGTCTGAAGATTGAAGAGCAGCTATGTGCTCTTCACTCACAAATGACCTGAAGCCAGGCTTGGAGGCGCACGCCTATAATCCCAGCACTCAGGAGGCTGAGGCAGGAAGATCAGTGAGAGTTTGAGACCAGCCTGGGCTACAAAGTGAGTTCAAGGCCAGCCCAAACTGCATAGTGAGATCCTGTGTCTAAAAGACAGGACAAAAAAAAGGGGCCTGGGATGTGTCTCAGTAGCACAGTGCCTGACTAGCAAGCACAAGGTCCTGAGTTCAATTTGCAGTACCCCCCATGCCTGCATACCATAAAACATGGTGAGAGTCATTGCTGAAAGCTTTGGAGGAGGTGGGTCTGTGTCCTGGCAGCACTGTCCATGGTACCCAGGATTCAAGGGCTGCACAGTCTCTGCAGTGCTTTTCTCCAATGAAAAACATTTGCAGTAAGAACTGCACTGGCTTTGTGTATGTGAGATGTATCACTGTATCAGCCTTTCACACGGCTTTTCCTTCCAGGTACATTTTATTATTTGTTAATTTGACTCATGAGTCACCCGTTTGTTAAATGGGATTCCTTACCCCATGACACTAATATACTAATATACAACTTTACATTTGGCTTCCTATTTTATTATGTATTTTAAACTGCTAAAAAAAATCCCAAATTTAAATTCTAAATTCTTGCATCTCAATATTATTACTCCACTCATTTTTAAACTCAGGAAAACATTATTATTAGCTGATAATGCTAACTACTGATCACTTTTAACACTCATTTACTTTTTTGTATTGTTTAGCTTTTTTGGTTTTGTTTGTTTTGAGACAGGCTCACCAGGAACTCACTAGGTAGCCAAAGCTGGCCTTGAACTTGAGGCAATCCTGCCTCAGCCTTCCAAGTGCCTGATTACAGTTGCATACCCAGCTAACACTGGTTTACTTTTTATTGCATTTTCACCAACTGAAAATTAGTGTAAAATGGGACTTTATTTAAAATCCTAACTTTATAAGTCTTACAAGAAAATGCCCACCATTTGTAGAATTGCTTTTCCCATAATGTTTCCCATCCTGTTTTTATGGTAATATCAAAACCACTGTATTCAAAAGCAGTGTCTTCAGCAAGTCCTGCGTCATGTGCCAGAAGCGCTGCTGCTGTTGTCCTGTGAGTTGCGTTCCTTGATCATCAGGTCTCTGCTCTGTGGGTTCCCACTGTCTGTTACAATTTCTGTACACTCTGCAAGTTTCATTTTCCTTGAAATAGATAAAGCACATTTTAGCTGGGCAGACTTAAAGATGAAGATGTCCACAGAGTTTGGAGTTTTAGAAGAAGTTGCTCGGCATGAGAAGTCAGAAATACTTTTATGAGGGAAATAGTGAAAGCTCTGATGATCCAGACGCAAAAGTATCTCCTTCACTTCTCAAAGCAAATTTAAGGTTAAAAATGATCACCATTCTCATTACTGAGGCAGAGAATGTCTTTCCACGGTCACTTAGGTAGATCTCAATGTGGGTGACTTAGGACGAGCAGGAGACACAATGTATCTGTTGCCTTCCATACTATAACTGAAAGTTTATATAAGAAAAAGTAGAGCTTGAAAGGACAATAGCAGAATCCTCTTAGCATGAAGTTTGAAATAGCTTTCAGGTATTTGTCAGAAGAATACACCTGTATTGTAATTAAAAGTGTTCAGCCAAATGTGGTGGCACATCCTATAATCCCAGCAATTGAGAGGCTGAGGCTGTAGCAAGAGGACCTCAGTGAGTTCAAGGCCAGCCTGGCTACAAAGTGAGTTCAAGACTAGCCCAAACTGCATAGTGAAACCTTGTGTCAAAAAAAAAAAAGTATTCATGCCTTGCCTCATGAGTGAAATGACTCTTATTAAAAGCCACATTTTTTCCTTCTAAACTGATGGCCTCTAAAAAGCAAATTTTTTGTATGTCAAAGTGTCCAACCAACACTATACCAAGAGTCCCGTTTTAAATTCTGTCCCTGACCTTGTCATACCTACTCTTCCAAGCCTTCCTGCTGCTCAAGTCCAAACCTATTCCCGTGGCCTCAAAGTTTTTGTCACCTCTGGCTGCTCGCACCTGTCCAGTCTCATCTCTGGACTCACTCTACCCACATTTTTCCAACTCCCCAGATAGTTCAGCCCTTTCCTGCCTCAGAACATTTGCCAATGCTGTCTCTACATGGAGTTGAGTAGCAGTCGGTATAATTGGGATTAATATTGGGAAGACGCTGTTCTGATTCACTATAGCTCTGCTCATTTAAAATGGAATTCTTGGGGCTGGTGAGATGGCTCAGTGGTCTAAGGCACCTACTTAGAACAAGCTAAACTAAACAAAGCACAGGGACCGCGGTTCAATCCCCCAGCACCACATGCCAGCCAGCCCCGCCCCCTGGTGGGCTGAGCTGGCCACACACAAAATAAATAAATAAATATTTTAAAAAAATAAAATAAATAAAATAAAATGGAATTCTTTGACTAAAAGTATTTCCCATCATAGGGACAGCAGAGGACTCCATAGTTTCAAAAGTATTTTGATAAAAATGATAATGTTCTCAGATTTATTTCTATGTAAAATCATTTTTACAAAATCACAACTCCCAGTTATTGATATTATATGAGATATTGTAAATATCCTGAATTACACAGATGGAAAACTAGGTTGGATAAAAGATATTAAATATTGTCTATCTTAGTAAATATTTGAAAGTTGTCAGTGACCTTTCCTTTTCTAATTTCATTGCTCAGATATGCACACTTGACATTTTGCTAACAAACGCTGCCTTCTGTGTCTTCTCTTCGTTTGAAATGTAGTCGCTGTCAGGGTTGAATCAAGTGGGCTGTGCTGCTACCCTGCCTCATTCTGCTGCCTTCATGCCTCTTAAGGTATCTCTTTTTATATTCATTATCCAGGAAATTTGGGGAAGAAATAAAGGTAGGTCTTAAAATTTCCCAGTAGATTGGTCTTACAGAAGCCTGAAATATAGGGATGTATAAAATACACATGTACTGTGGGCATAGTGGGGTATACCTGTAATCCCAGCATTTGGAAGGCTGAGGCAAGAAGATCACTGAAAGTTTGAGGTCAGCCTGGACTACACAGGGAGACTCTGTCTTGAGAAAGAAAAGAAAAGGAAAGAAAGAAGCAAAATGGAGAGATTTTGCATAAAAATTTTTGAACATTTTATTGTTTCAGACATAGTCATAGAAAGTTGGTCATGGTAGTGCACACCTATAATGCCAGCACTCAGGAGGCTGAGGCAGGAGGATGACTGTGAGTTTGAGGCCAGTTTGTGCTATACAAGTGAGTTCAAGACCTTGTCTCAAAAAAAAAAAAAAAAAAAGACATAGAACCTGCATTAAGTTCTTATATTCAGATTTTGAAAAGTCATTCTTTCTCTGTCTCTTTTTTTTGGTACCAGGGATTGGACTTGGGACCTTAAACTTGCCAAGCAGGCACTTATTTCACTGAGCTATTTCCCCAGTGTCATTCTCGTTTTGTGACACACAATATCAGATTAATTTGTTGTGTAATGATAGAGAATAATGAATCTGTCTAAAACTACCACTGCCCAACCCCCCACAGTATGGGTCAGCCAACTATAGACTGTAGGCCACCTGTTTTTATAATTAAAGTTTTAGTAGGCACAGCTGATCCTTTTTTGTTCATGTATTATCTGTGTTTCACAGTGAATGGTTGGAATAGTTGTGACAGAGGTCATAATAACCTGCACACCTAAAATGTTTATTGTCTATAAGAAAAAAAATGATTAGTCTTTACTTTATGTCAACATAATATCTTAAGAAATGATAAATTCCACCTTCTAAAAAACCTGAATTTAAACTTTAGAAATTAAAGCTGGCTATATACACGCCTATAATCAAAGCACTTGGGAGGCTGAGGCAAGAAGAGGGCCACAGTTTGAGGCCTGCTCAATAAACAAACTAACTCTTAACTCTAGAAATTAACTTTAACATTTTATCTTTAACTCTAGAAATTAATCTGTAGTACTTTATCTTTTGAAGGCCTCTGGGAATCATAATTCCACATTCGTCACCAGAGAATGCGTAAGAAATGATTTAATAATTCTCGTCAAAAGGGTCTTCCTTATATCTAATGTATCTGTCCCAAAGTGGTTCTCACTGATTCTTCTTTTCTTTCCAGTTAGAGGTTTCTGTGTAAACATCTTTGCACTTGAAAGTATCATCATCTCATACATGATTTTTCTCTAAATAAAGGTGCTTTCTTAATACCTGTTTACAGATTCCCTTCCCTCCCTTTTGGCTCCACAAGCATGGCTAGAAGTGTAACCAAGCATAGCCTTCCTAGTGCTGGGCCTGCCTGGGTTTTCACATATCTTACTTTCCATGCCAGCTTTGCTTGTCTTTTTCAGTTTGTGATGTTCTTTTTATTCAATATCTATTCTAATTCTCAGCATTCATGTTGTATTCCCAAATTTCTACTTCTTGTGTTTTTTGTTCTTTTTTTCCTGAATATTTAATTTGGCAGTTTGAGCATTTTTGCTCCTGCAGTGTACTAGAATACTTTCAAATTCTTGCGTCATGCTAACCTCTCAATTTTATGGTATCTGTTAACCTAATGACCCATTTCTCTGATCAGTTAGTGAAAGTGCTTTATGTACCTGGGTGACCCCTAAGAAAATTTTATCTGAAATTCTCTTCCATGGTAACCTTTTGCTAGCCTTTTTCAGTTAGGGTCCTTATTTGTACAACATAGAAAATTATTTCAGCAGCCAGGTGTAGTGGTGCATGCCTCTAATCCCAGCTTTCAGGAGGCTGACGCAAGAGAATGTCAGAGAGTAAGTACAAGACCAGCCTGGACTACATAGTTGAAACCCTGTCTCAGAAAACCAAAAAGAAAAGAAAATTGTTTCAGCAATTTTTTCCCTCAAAATTCTCTGAAGAATCTGAGCTTACTTAAGGAGAAATACAGATACGCAGCTAGTACCACTCTACATGTGTAAAAGAGAAATTGGATTATCGCAAGGGAGCCATTGGGCTTTGGGAATTATCCTATCTCAGAGTCGGTTAACTAAAAAAGGTCAGATATGGATGTACCGAAATTTGTAGGATCCAGATCTTATTTTTTCTACAAAAGTGATTCTCATGTAAAAGTAAATCTAAAACTTTACTGATTTAAGTTAGATGTTAAGTCTGACTTTCCTTCTATCAGACCTGCTAAACAGGCAGATGATTGGTTATCAGATTTTATCTTTACTTTTACAACAATTATATGCTGTGTTTATGCATGGTTTTGTTTCTTTTATTGCTCAGCCAGTCTTAAAAATTGAATTCATGGGGCCAGGGAGATAGCTCAGAGGCATAAGCACCTACCTGGCAAGCACAAGGACCTGAATTCGATCCTGACCCCTCATGTCGTGCGGTCTTGGCCCTGGATCCCTGGGCACCCACCATGCGGCCTGGAACTGGGCATGGTGGTGTACTCCTGTAATCCTAGCACTTGGGAGGTTGAGACAGGAGGATCTTTGTGAGTTTGAGACCAACCTGGGGGCTACAGAAGTGAGCACAAGGCCAGCCTGGACTGCGTAGTGAGTAAGACCCAGTCTCAAAAAAAAAAAAAAAACCTGAATTCATACCTTTTTTTTTTTCCTTTTTTCGGAACCGGGGATTGAACTCAAGCCCTAGCACTTGCCAGGGAAGTGCTTAATCCACTGAGCCACCTCCCTGGCCCTCATACCAATTTTTTAAGATTACTCCATAATCATTTTTTGTGCTCCAAGAATCCCCAAATATAGTTAAGTAATCCTAGAGTGATCTGAGTTAATTATTTTAGTGTCCTATCCTGAAAGTCACTTAGACTTAAGGTTTCTTTTGGTAAAAGTATATTTTTGAAGCCATCATATACAAGACCCTGCCCTGTAGCTGTTTTCCTGGCGCGGATTGTATTGAGCAGGCTCTGCAGTTAGTTCAGGAGGTCCACGGCATTTACTGTCATTTGGTATCATTTGTCTCAAGTCTTCAACTTATTTATCTTGTAAGGCTGCCTTTGTATCTTCCTTTTATTCCTTACTGTGCTTAAACTTCTAGCCTCTGTACTATAAATGACACTTCTTAAATGTATCTAGAAGAATAATCTGTGTCTTTAAAGGTTTTCATCATTGGACCTTCACTCTATCTGGCTAGTGTGCTTTTCCCTTCCTGGCACACACCCTTTGACAGACAGGATAGTCTTGTGTCCTCACAAAAGTATGCCAGGGCAAAATAGCTCAGTAGACTAAGTGCCTGCTTTGGCAAGCCCAGGGACCAGAGCTCGATTCCCAGTCCCGGGGTGCTCTGAGCCAGCAACCAAATCTGGGAGTAGTAGCGCACGCTGTCATCCAAGCACTGAGGAGACTTAAAACAGGAGGATCACTACAAGTCTGATAAGTCTGAGTTGTGCAGTGAGATACACAAGTACCAGATACATACATAATTGGAAAAAAAAAAAAAGGTCAGCTTTTACATCACCTTCCTGTTGATTCCTTTTACTGTTTCCTGTTACTCTTGCTTTAACTTAAATTTCTTATTGAAATTTCCATTTTTTCCAACACCTGAAACTTCGATATGAATTTACAATCTCTTTTTTTACTGTGATTTTTTTTTTTAAATGTATTTGGTAGTGTCTCACTATGCAGTTCTCATAGTGATCCTCCTGTTTACACCTCCCCAGCACTGATTACAGGCATGCACCACCACACCTGGCTCTTTAGAATCTGTTTTCTGCCCAGCTCAAGGGCTCAGCACCCCTGGAGGTGAGGCCGGCATGGCATGGGGGGCTGAGGATCGAACCCAGTTCTCCATGCTTGCCTAAGCAGGTGCTTAGTTTGTGGAGCTATCTATCGGGGCCCAATCTTTTTTTTTTTTTTTTACAATTTTGATGAATATGTCTTTTCCCTGGAAAGGTAATTCATCGTTTCACTCAAATGTATACCTTACTGTTTGAGTCTTAATCCTGAGCTAAGAATTATAACTGGGAAAAATGTTCTCAACAGCATTTAAAATTTTGTCATCAATAACTTCAACTATAAATATGAGATTTCTGAAAATATTTTTATCTCCTTGTTTGAAGACAATTTCTGAAACTACTGAAACCAGTGTAGAGAAGAATATAGGAGTAGATATGTGTGTGTCAGTTTTAAAATCATTCTTCGTTCAGAACTATCTTATCATTTCAAAAGTTATAATTAAATTTATTTATTTTCTGTCTTTTTGAGACAGCAGTTCAGGCTGGTGTTGAACTCACTTTATAGCTCAGCCTGGTCTTGAACTCCCAGTGATCCTGTCTCAACCTCAAAAGTGCTGGGATTAGAGATGTGTACCACCATGCCCAGCAACCTACATCACTCTTAAAAAATTAAATTTTGCTTTCCAGAGGAAAATACTTTGGAAACTATTTTGGAAAAATGCTATGAGAAAAATTTTGTTCCCATTTCTATTTTTCAATGAATTTTCTACCTTAGAATGATGTTTCAGGATCTTTGGAAAGCCTGCAGGATAATAGGACTGCCTCCAGAAAATGCATCCATAATGCAACAGAATAACAAGTTTATTTTTTAAAACAATGTGAAAAATTAATTCATTTCACCAAATTTTTATTTCTAGACATAATTTTGCAGGAGAGTTACATAGATTCATTGCTTTCATAGTTGCAGAGTTGCCATGAATGTGGAAAGTAGCCCTTTCTGGATAATAACTCTTATATGTCTCTGTTCCTCTGCAGAGTGATGACAGACCTAATGCCACGTCAAATTCACCTGCAGTGGAAACAGGTAAAAAAAAAAAAAAAAAAAAAAAGTAACAGATAATAGACATAGAGGTATAATCATGTCAAGATAATAATTCTTGGGCTGGGGATATAGCTTAGTGGCATAAGCTCCTGCCTGGCAAGCACAAGGTCCCAACTTTGATCCCCAGTACCACAAAAAAAAAAAAAAGTAATTCTTTTCCAGGACTTCTTGATCAGTTACTTCTTAGTAACTAAGATAGTTCTTAGAGAACTGACTGAGATAGTTCTTAGAGAACGTTTCAGAAATGGAAATCAGACACCAAATCAGAAATGTTCTAAATGCATTTATTTATTTTTTTTTTTTTTCCGGAACCAGGGATTGATCTCAGGTCCTTGTGCTTGCCAGGGAAGCACTTATTCTACTGAGCCATCTCACTGGCCCCTAAATACTTTCTTTTTAAAAATTCATCTTTGGGCTGGTGAGATGGTTCAGTGGTCTAAAGCACCTACTTAGAACAAGCTTAGCAAAAACACAGGGACCGCGGTTCAATCCCCCAGCACCACATGCCAGCCAGCCCCGCCCCCTGGTGGGCTGAGCTGGCCACACACACACACACACAAATAAATAAATTTTAAAAAAATTCATCTTGTTCAACAACTCCTTAGCCATGTAATAACAACAAATGAACATAAACTAGTAGGACTATAGATTTGCAAGAGACTGTTCATCATATGAACATCTGTTGATAACACCAAAAATAACTTCAGAATTAAAAACACGGCCTCCCTGCTCTGAGTATTATTTTTCTTACCAAACTTTACATTCATGAAGAGACATCATTTTATATCATTGGCATGTTTAATGTGATTTTTCTTTATGTGTCTATATATTTAATTTTTCTTTTCATTTCCTTTAACCTCATCTTGCTGTTCCAAGCTGACTTAGTTCATCACTCTGCTGCATATTCTTTTCCTGCTGCTAGCCAGAGAAATCAAGTCCCGCGCCCTGAGAGCTTCCTTTTCCGAGGAGCTGTCAGGACAGAAACAAATAAAGGTAAGTGGCAGTGATTTTACAAGGTGGGACAGTGGGTTATTGGGGATAGCCTGACAATGAAATTAACTCTTAACATGCTTTCACATGTCTCTACCAAGGGCTAGCTTTAGGAAAAGCTTTAAACTGTGGAAGTTTATAATCTCACTGATAGTAAATCAGGAGCACCTTGTTTGAATTTGTTTTAATAAGAAAGCTTCTTAGAAGTCAGCCATGGTATTACATGCCTATATTCTTAGCTACTCAAGAGGCTGAAGTAGGAGGAACATAGGTTTCAGGACAGTCTGGGCAAGCATATCAAGATTCTGTCTCAGAATAAGAAGGGCTGAAGATGTAGCTGAGTGGCAGAGCTCTGTGTTTATTATTCATGCAATTTTCTGTTTGTATGTTATTTTCAATAAAAACATTTTCAAGTGGATATAATCATACAATAGTAGTTAGCCACTGGCTTATGAAAATGTCCTGGTTTTTTAATGCTCTTTTGCCATTGTATGTATTTTTAAATTTCTGTAATAAAAATCTTAACAGAGTCTTTCCACAAGATTGGCAGTACTATACACATAAAGAATCTAAGGTCGAAGGGCCAGCAAGGTAGCTCAGTGGATTAAGCACCTGCTTAGGCAAGCGCAGGTGCCAGGGTTCTTTTCTGAGCACCACAGGCCACTTTGGCCTTGCCCCTAGGCACACTGAGTCCACCATGGAGTCCAGGCATGGTGGCTCATGCCTGTAATCTCAGCGCTGAGGAGGCTGAAAACAGGAGGATCACTATGAGTCTAAGCTGTGTAGTGAGACCCTGTACCAAATACATAAAAAAAAGAAAGAAAAAGAATCCGAGGTCGAGCCAATGTGGGCACTCTGCTGGCACCACAGTCACCTTTCTCTGTTGCATTTACTGTCTGTAGGTCATGGTCCCTCCCTACTCTCACCTCCTATACCTGCCTCGGATTCTACAGAATGCGTCACCAGACAGAGAGAAGAAGAGCTGAAATTAATAGATCAGCTACGGAAAGTGAGTATATTATTTTTGGCTTGCACTTAAAGTGTTGCTGCTCTAGTCCATATCCCTGTAATCACTTGTGCATCTGACGTACAATTTTTATAGAACCAATAAATGCCAAGCCAGGTGTGGGAGCACACTCTTATAATTCCAGATACTTGGGAGGCTGAGGCAGGAAGATCAAAAGTTCAAGGCCAGCCTGGGCAGTTTAATAATTTAGTGAAACCCTCTCTAAAATAAAATTTTAAAAGGTCTGAGGGTGTAGAGCATTTGCCCATGTGAGAGGCCCTGGGTTCACTCTGTGACACCAAAACTCCATTATGTGCTGTGCTTTACTACGAAAGTTAAAGAAATTTTGTTACAAAGGAAACTCTTGTTCAATCCCCAGTTCCACCAAAAAAAAAAAAAAAGGAAACTCTTTTTCAGCATGTTACTAAGAAATAAGATGAATTATTCTAAAAGCTCAATTCCTAGCTTTACTCATTTTTTTCATTTCCTTCCTGCCTCAAGTTATAAAGAAATTTTATGAGTCATAATTTATATTACATACATGTAAACATATATAGCACGCTCAGTAGTGAGAGATTCACCATTTCATTTTGGACCTGAAGGAAAATCTAAATTTTCCTCTTTAATTTTGTTTTGTTTTGTTGTTTGTCTGTGATAGGATATAGTTTTACTATGTATCCTAGGCCACCCTCAAAAAGTCGTGATGATCCTCCAGCCTCAGCCTCTCTAATGTGTGTATCACCACACCTGGCTTTCTTTTTCTTTCTAGTCAGAAAATTGTCTCTGAAATTCTGTAGTACTTGACAGTATATGCGGTCTGACTGCCATGCATATATATTGGATCTCCGTAAGATATTGACTTGGGCGACAAGGATTCCTTTTTATCTTGATTTCTAGTTAAATATTGTCTATTGTAACACCATTATGTCTTATGTGCTAATTACTGTTCAGTGAATATATTATGCATTTTCCTGTTCTTTCAGCACATTGAGTACCGGTTAAAAGTCTCCCTACCTTGTGATCTTGGAGCAGCTCTTACAGATGGTGTTGTTCTTTGCCATTTGGCCAATCATGTGCGGCCTCGGTCTGTCCCAAGCATTCATGTTCCCTCACCGGCCGTGGTGAGTTTTTAATGCTAGAAAGCATCAGCTGTTCATTAGATAGTTATTGAACAGTGGACAGTCATTGTGCTAGATATTGGGGATGCAGATTTAAAGGGTCTATTCTCTGCTTTCTTATTTATTTATTTATGGTAGTGGGGATTGAACTCAGGACCTTGCACTTGCCAGGCAAGCGCTTATTCTACTGAGCTATCACCCCGGCCCAATTCTCTGCCTTCTTGGTCTTACTTTTACTAGAGAAAAAAGACATGAAAACAATAACTTACAACAGTGTGATGAATGTTAGAACAGAGATGTATGAGAGTGTGCTGTAGATAGACAATGATGGGATGAGTTAACTCTGCCTCCAGAGTTCAGGAAAACCTTCATTGAAGATGAAAAATGTGAACTAATTCTTAAAGCTTGACAGGAATTTGCCAGCAAGCCAGAGGAAGAGGAAGTCAATCTAGGCATCGTAATCCTAGATTCCACAGTGGAGGCAGAGCCTGGGGTATAGCTCACAAGAGCTCTTGCCTGTCATGCAGGAGGCCTTGGAAAGGAGCATCATAGGCATATTCAAGGAAGTGTTCCATTGTTCAAAAGGGATTATACAAGGTGTGAGTGCAAAAGGCAATGGATGAAGTCAGAAAGAAAAGCCAGGGGCTATGTTACCAAGGCCTTAGGAGCATGTTATCTTAGTGTAGACAATGAGGAAACACTGAAAGGATTTAAGGGGAATACTGTGATTATAATTGCAGGTTAGAATGAAGACTAGACCAGCATAGTGGCACACGCCTGTAACCCCAGCACTTGGATCATTGTGTTCGAGGGCAGCCTGGGCTACATAGTGTGTTCAAGGCCAGTCTGAACTGCATAGTGAGACAGTTACCTCCAAAAACAAAAAAATAATGATGAATCATGCTGGAAGAAAATTGCCTAAATGCTGGACCTGGTGGTGCATACCTGTCATCCCAACACTTAGGAAGTTAAGGTAGGAAGATTGCTGCGAGTTCAAGGCCACCCTGGGCAACACAGTGAGTTGAAGGTCAGCATGAATTACAGAGCATGACCTTGTCTCAAAAAAAAGAAAAAAAGGTGCCAAATAAGAGCCTGATGTTAGCCAGGCACAGCAGTGCATTAGGGAAACGGCCAGGAGGATCACACGTTTGCATCCCGCCTGGGCAGCGTAGCAAGACCACGTCTCAAAATTTAAAAACACTTTAAAACACTAAGCAGGAGCTCAGTGGTAAAGCTTCCCTGGGTTCAGTCCCCAACACCGCATCCAAGCTGGAAAAGTTAACAAGTTAGAGAATGGAGGAGGATTATGGTAGACGTGGGGTTGATGCAGCCTAGTGACTTCTGTGGGAGATCAGAGAACAGGGATTCTGAAAGATGGATGATGTTTTTGGTTACTGCTGGTCACACTTGGGTGTTACTATCAGGATGGCAGCCATGAGAAGAAGAGCAGGCTTTCGGCTTGGGTTGACACACCTCTTCTGATTTGATTTAATTTAAATTTTATTATAATTAAAAAAATTTTTTTAAAGATCTGCTCTGCTGGACAGCAGGGTAACTCTAGAAAATGATAATGTACTGGTTAATGGAGAAGGAAGGGCTTGAAATATTTTCACCATAAGGAAATAATGGGGGTTGGGGGTTGGGGAGATGGCCTAGTTGCATAAGCGCCTCCCTGGCAAGCCCAAGGTCCTGAGTTTGATACTCTGTGCCAAAAGGGAGGGAGGGAGGGAAGGGGGGGGGGAGAGAGAGAGAGAGAGAGAGAGAGAGAGAGAGGAAAGACAGACAGACAGACAGACAGACAGACAGACCACCACTACTTCCAAAAAAGAAAGAATGGCCCAGGGTAGAGCCTGGTAAGAGCACTTGCCCAGCCCAGCATGCCTGAGGCTCTGGCTCCATCCCCAGCATTTCACAAAAGACAGAAATGGTAAATAATTAAAGGGAATAAGATGTATGTAACCTTTTTTAAACATTGTATAATGTACACATATATCAAAATGTCACAGTATCTTTAAATATGTACAATTTTTTTTTTTTTTGGTGAATATTCTTATTTATTTATGTGTGTGTGTGTGTATTTGGCCAGCTCAGCCCACCAGGGGGCGGGGCTGACTGGCATGTGGTGCTGGGGGATTGAACCGCGGTCCCTGTGCTTTGCTAAGCTTGTTCTAAGTAGGTGCTTTAGACCACTGAGCCATCTCACCAGCCCCACAATTTTGTTTTTATGTATCAGTTAAATTTACTTTAAAAAAGAACCTATGAACACACACAAGTTTAAACTTTCAGATAGGGGAACACTTAACATTTTCACCTAGGTCTGATAGTTACTGTATTTTGCCATACTTTCTTTATTTGTGTGTTTATGTATCTTTTAATTATAGTTCTGTATATCATAACTCTGTGCCCCTTAACTATTCCCCACCTACCCTGCTTTCATTCATTGTCAGTGCCTGATAGAGGGCTGGGCTCAGGCCGCCAGTGCGTTTGGTGCAGTTTTCACTGAGCTCAGACTGACTCTGAGAAGAGGTTTAGCAGCCAACAGGGTGGGTGAAGCTGGGTGTGTGGACTTGTGGACTGGTGGAGGAGCACAGAGTGCCAGCATCTGTCATAGGGCATATTCACAACCTCCTCTTAGTTTAAGAACATCTACTTAGCTACTTTTCCTCCCTCCTGGCCATAGTACATGGGCACATACACACACTCATATATGCATACACGGTGCACATGCAGATAGAATGAAAGCTTTCACTGCATTTGATTGTTTCACCTGCTATTTTCATTTTCTTTTCTTTTTTTTTTTTTTTTTAATGTATTTGGTACAGGGTCTCACTACACAGCTTGGAGCTGTAGTGATCAGCCTCCCCACACTGGGATTACAGGCATGCACCCATATGCCCTGTCTTGGTAGCCAACTCACTGTGCCTAGGGGTAGGACTGGCAAAGCCTGTGGTGCTGGGGATCAAACCCCGGTCCCTGTGCTTACCTAAGCAGGCACTTAGTCCACTGAGCTATCTTGCCAGCTCTGTGTTTCACCTGCTTTTGATAACAATTGTACTATACTTAGCCATGTTTGACTTCTCAGCTTTTTAAAATTTAATTTCATTTTATTTTTTGGTTTTTTGAAACAAAGTCTCACTGTGCAGTTCAGACTGACCTTGAACTCACTATAATAGTCCAGGCTGACCTCAAACTCCTTGCAGTCCTCCTGCCTCAGCCTCCAGAGTGCTAAATTACAGGCATGTGCCACCACACCTGGGTGACCTCATCTTTTTTATTTTTTGGTAGGGAGAAGGGTATGTACCAGGGATTGAACTCAGGACCCTGAGCTTGCCAAGCAGGTGCTTATTCTACCAACCCCATCTTATTTTCTGTTATCCCCCCCCCCCACCTAGGATTGAACTCAGATTCTTGGCGTTTGCCGGTCAAACACTTATCCTACTGAGCCATCTCCCCGGCCTATTTTCTATTAATTTATTGTTAGTTAGCAGGCAGCTCCTGTTATAAATTATTGACTCAAGCTGCAGTTATATAGAACGTAGAGTTCCATTTAAGGCATTCATCTTACTGCTTTTCTAGGTGGAATCCTTTATCTTTCCCAAGGACCTTGTATCATTTTAATTGTAAGGGCTTCTTTGTTCCCAAAGTCCCAAGAGTGTAATATGTCCCTTTCTTGTGTAGCACATCCAAAAACAGTATCGTGCATTTCCGCTAAGGGAAACAGCAAGGCTCTTAAATAAAATAGCACTTGGAAAGCGGGTGCTCTGCTTTTCTTCATTTCCGGGGGTAATAAGCAAGGCGCTGGTGAACTGAGATTTGACAGTAAAAGGCCTGGGGTGCTTTACTGCCATCATCAGAACATCACACTGAAACAAAACTTATAAACATTTAACCCATTTATGCTGAAGCTTGAAATATTTTGAAATTTTCCTTGGAATTCATATATGTTAACCTACAAATCTTCAACGAGAATTTGAAGAGAACACATTTCATTTTGTTCTGTTATTATAGGCAACCCACAGGTGGATCACTAGGCATTGAAGGGGGTTAACTGCTTGAAGGAATAAATACATGAGCCTTTTTAGTTGTAAGAGATTTAACAGGCATTTAAAACTTTGTTTTGTTATCAACAACAAAAATAATTCTTACTGGCATTGGTCTAGGCAGAAAATGTAGCAACAGTGAGTTACAAGCAGTTCATTTTTTAGAAAATAGTAACCTTTCTTTTAAAAATAATGAAGGCTGTCAGGTGTGATGGTGCGTGCCTGTAATCCCAGAACTGCGAAAGGCTGGGGCAGGAGGATCACAAGTCCAAGCCTAGCCTGGACAATTTGGTGACCTAGTGAGACCCTGTTGCAAAAAAACAAAAAAGAATTAGGTGTAGTGGTACCTGCTTATCCCAGCACTTGGGAGGCTGAGGCAGGAGGGTCGTCATGATGAGTTCAAGGCTTGCTGATGCTATATAATGAGTCCAAGGGCACTCTGAACCACAGTGAGACCCTGTCTCCAAAAGTCATGGGGTTTTCTTTACCTGGGTTTTGTCTATGCTACAGATACAAAAAAAAAAAAAAGTGTAGTTATTTTTATTTTTTTAAATTTATGTATTTGTTATCAACAACAAAAATAATTCTTACTGGCATTGCTGGTTCTCACTATGAAGCTTGGACTTGTGGTAAATCTCCTGGTTTCAGCCTCCCCAGCACTGGGCTGCTTCAACCCACCCTGGGGGTAGGGCTGGCACAGCATGTGGTGCCAGGGACTCTAATCAAGGTCCCTGTGCTTACCTAAGCTAGCTTGCTTGCTTGCTTGCATTTGTTTGTTCGTTCTTTCTTTTTTCTTTTTCTTTTTTTTTTTTTTTTTGGCAGAACCGGGGATTGAACTCAGGCCCTTGTGCTTGCCAGGGAAGCACGTATTCCACTGAGCATCTCCCTGGCCCCTTTTTAACATTTTTTTTTTAAAGCATGTGTAGTTTTATTGTTTGGATGATCCTTTAACACTCACTCCCCACAAAAATAAAAAAGAAAGAAAAAGAAAGATCCCCAAAGGAACAAAAAAACACTGGAGATGTAGCTCTGTGTGAAGACCCTTGGCTCAACCCCTAGTACCACAAAAATAATAATAGTAAAGAGTATGAAAAAAAGAAAAGTAGTCTTTCATAAATCCCTGTTCTGTGATCTCCCACAGGAGTCACTAGGCTGCATCAACCCCACGTCTACCATAATCCTCCTCCATTCTCTAACTTGTTAACTTTTCCAGCTTGGATGCGGTGTTGGGGACTGAACCCAGGGAAGCTTTACCACTGAGCTCCTCCTTAGTGTTTTGAAGTGTTTTTAAATTTTGAGACATGGTCTTGCTATGCTGCCCAGGAGGGATGCAAACGTGTGATCCTCCTGGCCGTTTCCCTAATGCACTGCTGTGCCTGGCTAACATCAGGCTCTTATTTGGCACCTTTTTTTCTTTTTTTTGAGACAAGGTCATGCTCTGTAATTCATGCTGACCTTCAACTCACTGTGTTGCCCAGGGTGGCCTTGAATACACAGTAATCATCCTACTTCAGCTTCCCAAATGTTGGAATGACAGATGTGTGTCACCAGGTCCAGCATTTGGACATTTTTCTACTTGATTTTAAAAGCAAGTACTGGACTAGGGAGATAGCTTGGCAGTCTAAGCACCTGCCTGGCAAGCACAAGGACCCAATACCACATGCCATGCTGGCCCTGGAACCCTGAGTGCGCCATGCCAGCCACTGAAACCAGGCATGGTGGCACACGCTTGCAATTCCAGCGCTGGGGTGACTGAGACAAAAAGATCACTACAGAGTCTGAGCTGAGTAGCAAGACCCTGTACTGAATGAATGAATGAATGAATGAATGAATGAATGAATGAATGAATTTTTTAAAAAAGCAAGTAATAGGCCAGGGATATAGCTCAGTAGCACAGCATCTGCCTGGTAAATAAGAGGTCCTGAGTTTCATTCCCAGTATCCAAAAAACTAGCAAGTATTACTTGGGCAGGGTGCCACATGCCTGTACCACCATCACTGGAGAGGCTGAGGCAGGACTGCCAAGAAATCAAGCCCACCTAAACTACATAATTTTTTTAAACTGATTTTTTTTGTGGGTGGAGTGTTGAGACAGGGTTTCCCTATGCACTTCAGGCTGGCCTCTAACTCAGTGACCCTCCTGCCTCAGCCTTCCAAGTGCTGGGATTATAGGTATGTGCCACCACATCTGGTTCCAAATAATTTTTAAATAATTTTTAAAACTAAAAGTAAACTTTGGAAAAAAAAAAAAACCTAAAAGTAAGTATTTTTATACTAGGCAAATAAAGAGTGATTTTTGTTGTTTTGACTTGTTAAAGGAAAAAAGTCTGGGTTCAAGCAATCCTCTTGCCTGAGCTTTCTGAATGAATGGGACTGCAGATGTACGCTGCTTAAGAAGTCTTTTGGAGTAATAAAAAGGCACATTCAAATATGCAAAAGTTCCCAAACTGTCACGTTTGGGCTGAGGAAGTAGACATTCACTTAGCTAGATGAAAATCATCCACTATTTAAATTAAAAGGGAGGAGAAGGGGGGGCAACCCTGCTTTCAAATTGTGGTCATGACTCTTAACAATAAATAAATACTGTTGCCAGGAGTGGAGTCTCACATCTGAAGTCTCAGCACTTAGAGGCTGAGATAGAATTGCTGAGTTCACGGCCATCCTGGGCCATCCTGGGCTACATAGTGCGTCTCTGTCTCAAAAAAGCAAACGGGCTGGAGAGAGAGCTTAGTGGCCTAAGCACCTGCCTGGCAAGTGCAAGGTCCTGACTTCAATCTCCAATACCAGGGAAAAAAAAAAGCAAATAAACAACAACAACAAAAATCAATATTGCTCTAATGGAATTTCTGTTATAGTATTAGATTTCAAGATGAATTTTGACACCTTTTTCCTTCATAAAAATTGGTATTCTTCACAGTAGACTGTTTTTTCCTTTATTTTGTTCTTATGACCATCCAATAACTATAATTTACTTTCTTAGAATTATTTTTGTAGTGAGGATATAAATGAAAGTGAAACACACATGGGAACTCTTACCAGTTTTTTTGTCTATATTCATGTTAATTTTTTGTGATTCTTTGAGAAGTTGCTAGTTAGATGATCCCAGATCCATAAACAGATGTTCTTAAAATCTTAGTTGTTGTCAGTTAATAATGAGTTACTGCCTCTGTCATATATTTTTGAGCAACTGTTACTGATGTTTAAAAATTATGTTCCCTAGAATAGGGTGAAAGAAAATAGATCAAGTGTTAATTGTGGCTGTAGGTGAAAGATGATCTGTAGGTAATTAATTCTTCCAAATTCTTTATAGTGTATACTGTTTTTAAATGGGGGAGAAAAAGACAAAAAATCTTTGCCCCTTCCAAGCTTCTCTCTGTGTAGCACGCAGCTGTAGAACCAGGGTGAGCTGTGCTGGTCAGAATGGGGTGCCCCGCAGAGGTCCCCCAGGCTGCGGGCCTGTCTGTGTGGGGGTGCTCCTGAGCACAGCTGCATGTGGTGTGCACACAGCTCCTGTGGCTGCCCTCAGGGGTCGCGAAGTTGTGAGCGGTGGCAGTTTTGTGGTTCAAGACTAACATCACCAGATCCTTTGAGGAAAAATATACTGACTCTTTATAGCATTGTAAGTATGTGAAGCAACTGGCAAAGAATGCTTTTAAAGTTAGCACTTTTTTTTTTAAATAGTGTTCTCACTGTGTAGTCCAGGCAGGCCTTGAACTTGCTATGTTATCCCAGGCTGGCCCTAAACTTAGGATCCTCGTGCTTCAGCCTTCCCAGTGCTGAGATCACAGGCATGTACACCAGGTGTAGCAGTTAGTACGTTTCATAAACCTTTGCTAGTAACACCATGTTTTCCTCTTTCTTTTCTCATTGCAGCCTAAATTAACAATAGCAAAGTGCAGGCGAAATGTGGAGAATTTCCTGGAAGCATGCAGAAAAATTGGTGTACCTCAGGTAATATATTTAGCATTTTGTGTGTGTACTTCCTAGAAGATTTGGATATTGTCCTAAACTCTTGTCACAGATGCAAGTCTCTAAAATCTTATTACATAGACACTTTAAGATGTATCATTAAACTATTTTTTCGGCAAAAAATAAAATTTGCAGCAGTTCTAAACTAAGACGGTGTAGGTTGTAAGAGTCAGTCAGCATTCTTTTGATTGTTTTCCTTATTTCCAAGGACTTCACACAGAAATTACAAACATCAATTTAAATAATTATAAGTATCTAATAAGAAATACTATATTTTCCTAAACATCACTACCCTTTGACTTAGGTTAGCAACATGCACAGCAATATTTTTCAACATAAATACATCTCAGATTGAGAGTGCTTCAGTTTGCTTCTATTTTTTAATTCTTGGATACTTCTTAAAGACATTAATTTTAAAATAATCTTAACACTTTTAGGAATGTTATAGAACTGCTCAGTTTTTTTGTTTGTTTGCTTTGGGGTTTTTTTGTTTTTGTTTTTTGTTTTTTGTGGTACCAGGGATTGAACTCAGGACCTTGCGCTTGCTAGGCAAGCACTTATTCTGCTGAGCAATCTCCCCGGCCCTGCATTTTTTTTTTTTTAATGTTAACATGTAACATATACATAATAGTTGTCCAAACTAGGTAACACTGGAACGATTGTACTATTTACTAAATTACAGACTTCATGCAGATTCTACCAGTTTTTCCACTAAGCTTTAATGCTTTGGAGTATAGCTCACTAAAGGCCATTTCCAAGCACCAATTCTGTTCTAAGGATTTATGACTTCCAGTTCCTCAGTTCTAGTGTTCTACCCCTTTAATAGTAAAGATAGTTCAACTTATTTAGAGACGTTATAGGAAAATCAACTGGGTATACTCTTTGTTCAGTTAAACTTTTAAAAAAGCAACTTGAAGTGAATTAAGCATGTACTCTCTAGAATATTATATTTAATGATGTGATACAGATACAAATCTAAAGAAAGAAACAGCATGGGGCCATAGGATCCTTTTGTTCTGTTTGTATCGGAGCACATGCTTCATCACTGTACCTCATTCCCAACCCCTGCAAGTCTGACATTTCATCCAACCTGCCAAGGACCAAAATATGACTCTTCTGTCACCTTGATTAACTAGCTTTCAGAGACTCAGGATCAGCCCCGGGTCCATCAACAATGCCATGGTTCCCCTCCAGATGAAGCCCTTGTTCCAGGAGCTTCACAATGACCTCTCCTGATTTGTCTGCTACCCAGGGGCCCAGAAGGCCGGGGCATCAGTTGCAGAGCCGAAGAGCAATGGCCTAGCTCCCTGGTGCATTTGCATTAGCCAGCGTGAATTACTACGGTTGTCTTCTCCCATTTTTTAAAAGGAGATCATCATTATACACTTATTTTTCACTTTTTTCTTTTGCTGCTTTTTTTAAAAAATAACCTTAGTTATAAAAGAACAAACACATAAAGTGATAGTGACCAAGGACCATTTTTATTCCCGTGGACAAATTCAAAGCATTTTTTTTTCTTTCTTTCTTTTGG